ACCTTAGTTCTATACATTTCTTAAAAATAACTTAAGTTGGAATGTCAATCTACAAACTAATTTTTAATAAAATTACATCTTTAAGATGCACCTTATCTAGAGTTACAAAATGAACACATTCCTTTCTATTTTTTCTGTTTTATAATTAATTTACATGTACATATTAGTAACATTTGTAAGTATATAATCTCATTCTATTCAAAATATATAAGTATTAACAGTGCATAAAAATTTATATTCAACTTAAATAACACATCGAAAAAAAAACGAGATAATTTTACACCAATTATTGTAGACTTAATGATTTATTTATTTATAGAAAAGAATCATTGCAAATTATTTTTACTATTTTATTGACATAAATTGAATTCGAAAAAATTTAAATGTTCAACTTTTAAATTATTTTATACATTTTAATAGTTCCTTTGAATTACTTTTTATGATATCTAAAGATTAATTTGAAAAGTCTACAATAATTGATTCTAGTACTAAAACTATTGACAGAGATATTCAGTATAGGAAACATAATATTATCCATATGAACCCACGTACCCAATAGAAAACACAAACTAGTATTCTTCTACTGTACTGGGTGTCCAAATAAATAAGGACGCCAGTCATATCGAAGGAACCATTGATCTTATAGCAGTGGGATTCTCATATTTCAATATGTCTTGTATCAAGACACCTATCTTCGTTCGACAAACTGCGATTCTCATGTAATGGCTCTCTCTATTCGATAAGTAACGTGTCGAGTTAGCACATAGGAATCCCTTTGTTGATCTGAGAATTTTGTTTTAACAAAAGTGGTTTCTAGAAATCGCTGGAAATTATTTTTTAATGTCCCTCATCCGTACAAGGACAATAAAAAACCTGTAAGTTATGTAGAAATATGTAAATCGTAATATGTGTGAAATTTTACTAGTTTTGACTACCCACTCGTTTATCTGTTTATTATTGGTCATCTCAAAAACGCATTGGTCATCAAAAAAACACATTTTTAAGCTATTGCATAGCATTTATCGCGGGCTTTGAGCGTGGCGACCAATCAAGAAATTCCGTAACGCGTAACGAAAAAAAACCCCCCACTCCGACCGGCACAGCGGTGCGGCGTTAAACAATATTAACTTCTCATTTATTCAATAAAAGAAAATCGAAAAACCGAAAAATGAAAAATCGAAAAATAAATTCCGTAACGAAAATAAACCTAACACCCCCCGCTCCGACCGGCACAGCGGCGTTGAAAGCCGTGCATCGTCTAACGGCGTTTCAGTTCGGCAGACTTCGGCTCGCTGTTTGTGTGCGTGCGACTAGACGTATGCGTGTAGACTAGCTGCTAACTGCTCATAACTGATTCTATCTCTTTTAGACACAATTTCGGAAAAATTGAATTTGAAAATGAATAATGATCCACAAGAATCTACAAGAAAATATGGGACGAACATTGACGCGATATTTTCCAGATATTTAGAGGATATCAAGTCTCAAACTTATGTTTCTTATTTCAGTTACCATAAACCTATAGTTTCAATGATAAAAATTCCTGAATAACCTACATGTATTGTAAGATAATAAAAATATTTTAAACAATATTAACTTCTCATTTATTCAATAAAAGGAAAAAATTTGTTTTCTTATCAGTCACCACGCTCAAAAAGTGTAACTTGAATTAATATCAAAGAAAAAAAAATACTGCATAAATAAAATAAATAACTAATTATAATTGCATAAGTTGATAAAAAATGCTATGCAATAGCTTTACCGCAGCAGTCCCCGAGTGCCACATGTATTTTTTAGGTTATCTTACGAGTTCCACCAAGCCACTTTTATCGCATGTTACAAAAATTTAAAAATTTTAACTGAATGTGCACTAGGTATTTATTTTAGATCTTTTAAAGCACATGACTTTCCTGTCTTACCTTAAGTTATTATAGGCTTTTATCGATTGGTCTGTACAACCTATTGTATCACCCCTGTGAATGTTTACATTGTGTGATGTGTCAGATAAATGGAGAATCTACTTTGCAGTTACTTTTCTCAGTGTAGAAATAAACGGCGAAAACGTCAATTGTCAATAAATGTCTAACCACTCTGACATCCAAGGAGCCGGTCCAAGCTATCTAGTGCATTAATTACCTTGGATTAAAGAGACCGGAGATGTAACATTGCACACAGCACATGTTGTCATTTCAACCTCAAGTAACCCACTAATTGAAAATCATTGTTTCCACGACGCTACCCGAATTGCTCCGATATTTCAATTCTACGCTCACCTCATCATAGACCGCCGTTTTTTTTTTATTATTTGTTGGTTTTATTAGCAATTTAAAGTGTTTTAGTTATTCAATTTCAAGTTGAAAATACCACGATGTATCATGAAAAATTGTATATACTTATAAATGCCAATTTTATGAAAGATAAGAAATATATTCGTTTTCACCGGTAATAGTAATTTTAGTTACAAGACCGGAAAGTAGTGTTTTGCAGGTCGAGACAAGCAGATTCCAGGGCGAGCCGCAGACGAGACCTGGAAGCTTGGAGAGACCTGCTTAACACTAATTTTCGGTCGAAGGACGTACAATATTTTTTTAAGACCGACATTT